CTCTCTCTCTTTCTCATCCTCTCTCTTCCTCTCTCTCCTTCTCTTAATCCTTCCATCTTCTTCCTCTTCATTACCGGCTATCCACTCCCATCATCGCATTATTCTATCAGAAGAACAGAGTAGAGTAGAGCAGGACAGAACAGAACAGAACAGGACAGGACAGGACAGGACAGGACAGGACAGGACAGGACAGCAAAGGACGATATCTACCTATATCCAATTGGATTACACTGTCTAGTTCTGATATCCTCAACCCTGCTTATCTTCATTCAAACACGCTCAATTCTTCTTCTCCTATTTGTCGTTCTCCTCTCAATATCCCCCTCCCTCTCCTTCCGATCCCAGCAATGGCCGACATTGAGAAGACTCAAGCTCACTCGGAGACTCTCGTCTCCCACGAGCAGCCTCCTGCTTCACATCCTGTCTCTACTGAAGCCCCCGCTCCTGCTCAGTATTCTACAACTGAACAGACTACTACTGCTGCTGCTGCTCCTGCTGCTACCACCAACTCCCACCCTGACAACGAACAGGAACAAAGCCTCGATCATGAGCAAAAGGATGGGCAACAGACTCTACAGCAGGACAATGACCATCAACACGACCATGAAAAGAGGTCCGATATCAAAGGAATAAACGAGACTGAAACTGAAACCGAAACCGAGCAACCAATCACTACTGCTGCTGCTGCTGCTACTGCTACTGCTACTGCTACCCCAAAAGAAGATCATTCTGCTTCTGATCAGTCGCAAGAACACCATCAATCTCACGATCAAGAGCAACAATCCCATCCTCCTGCTCAAGAAGAGCACGGTCCCGTCACCGAGGGCCGTCTTGGTCACAAAGCTCCTGGTTTCACAAAGTATGTGTCAATTGAATCACCAAGAGCAGAGAGAAAGAAAAGGAATCAAACTCAAATCTGCTCTTCTTCCCCTCCTCACCCTTCCTTGCAAGCACCATTGACTAACCCTCGTACGCCACTCCGTGTTTCGCTTTGGTTGTTTCTTTCTCCCTTTACAGGCAATTTCGTTTTTGCAAGCGTCATTTTTGGTTTGGTGACGAGCCAGTCGATCCCAAGAATCTTCACACTTACCTTCAAAATGAGAAACAACATATCGCTCATTCTACCGCTGCCTGGGCTTCTCAAACCGGGAAAGGTCTTCTGTTCTATGCGAAACGTGCTGAGGATAAAGTCACCCCTCACGGGGTGCTTAATATGGTATGTACTCCCCTGACACTTCATTCCGCGCAACACATCATCTTTTCCTTCTTCTCTCTCGTTTTCTATCTCCGCTCCTTGCTTCAACTTCGGCTCACGCTTACGCTTACCCTCTACCGCTAGTCCGAAATTGAACAAATCGCAAAAGACGGCCTCAATGAACTTGTGGTCAAGGTCAATGGCCAGAAGCACACTTTCCAGGCTGACACCGCTAAGCAACGTGACGCCTGGCACCTTGCTCTCGAGCAAAAGGTTGCTGAGGCTAAGGAATTGAAGGAACAAATCATCAACAGTGATGGCTACAAGTCTGTCGCTGAAAAGCTGCGTACGTTTGTAAAGACTCTTTGCCCCTCCCCATCAACTTCTTGGTCCTTTCCATGCTTGCTAACAATCCACTTCCTCTCTACCAGGCAAACACTCTCCTCTTGCTACCCAGACTCGTCCTCCTCATCCTGCTGCGCAAGCTGCAGCTGCAGCAGCCGGCTACAAGACGGAGGACAAGCCTGCTGAGGAGATACCGGTCGACGCTCCCACGGTCCCAGCTACCGATGTTACACCAGCTCCGGCTGAGCAGCAGCCCGCCGAAAAACCCCTCGAGACGCCCAAGTCACCTGTTCTCATTCCCACGGCAGCTGCTTCCGCTTCCGCTTCTGCCACCGCGGTAGCCAAGGACAAAAAAACCCGCTCTCAGTCTCGCGGCCGTAAGCGGTTAAGTGTGTTCAATACTCTGCGTGGGAAGAAGGAGGATGCGCCCCCAACTGCCGAGGAAAAGGGTAAGAAGCCCGAAACTCCTGATGCTGTAAACCCATCCTCTACTTCTGAGGAGGTTAAGGAAGTTGAAGAGGAGCCTGCTAAGGAGTCTACCTCTGCTGAGGAGACTAAGAAGCCTCAAGATGAACTTGTTGCTGAGTCGTCGAGATCCTTCCAGCCATCTGAAGGTGAGTGAACTTTATTTTGTTCTTCCGTCTGCCCTAGTTTGGCTATTGATCGCAATTGAGTTGGTTGTGTCACTGTATTTTCGTCTGTTCATCATTCGTACTAACGCAATCACAGCACCAGCTGAAGAAGAAGCAAAAGAGCCTCAGCAGCCCCAGGAAAGCGAGGAGGCAAAGGAGGCTCAATTGGAAGAGCAGACCTCCTCTGAACAACTCAAGCCCGATGACAAACCCGCCGAGGTCGCTGCTTCTCAGCCTGCTCCCCTTGCCAATCTTAAAGAGGAAAAGAAAACCAAGCGATCCTCTTTCTTCGGTATCTTCAACCACAAGGAAAAGCAGTCCGACAAGTCTGAGAAGCACGAGAAGCATGAGAAACATATCCAGCAGCCCAAGGTCACGGAAAAGAAGCCTGAGGAGTATCAGCCTGTCTCCTCTACCGCTCCCCAATTAGACTCACCTGTTTCACCTGAACCAATTGCTGCTGAGGACGTTACTAAGTCCCATGTTGAGGGCGCCGCGCCCGCACCTGCCGACTCCAGTGCCAATGCCACAACCGCTGCTGAGCCAGCGACGGAAAGCGCCGAGGGCACTACCGCGGAGACTCAGGAGAAGACAGATGAACCGGCCGCGGCTGAGCAGACTGAAAAGTCCCCTGAGAAGGCTCCCGAAAAGCAAGAGAAGGTCACCCCTACCACTCCTAAGGGAATGTTTAGCAAATTCTTGAAGAAGGACAAGTCGGATGAGAAAAAGAAGGAGTCTACTCCCAAACCTCAAGCACCTGCTGTCCCTGCTCCTACCAAGGGTCAGACCCTGCCTGAGTCCAAACCGGAGGAGTCAGCTGAAGCTGCTCCTGCTATTTCTGCTACTCCTGCTACCCCCGCTACTCCTGCCATTTCCGGCAGCCCCTTGGAGAACCCTGCCGTCGAGGAACCTGCTTCTATGAGCGCAGTTTCAGATGCTGCCCCGACTTCTGCACCCGTTGTTGCACCCGCTACCGCTCCCACACCTGCTCCTTTCGCTTCCAAGGAGGTTAAGGAGAAGCGTCGTACTTCTTTGTTCACCTTGAAGAAAGACAAGAAGCCTGAACACCCTACTTCGGAGTCGGAAGCGAGCGAGGGCGAGTCGAAGAAAATACTTGGTCTCTTCAGACGCAATACAAAGGCCAAGAAGGAGAAGACCTCTGCTGGCAAGAAGGAGAAGGACGAGGAGCCCGCTGCTGCCAAGGAGCATGAGCGGCCTGCGGCTGTTCCTGAGGGAAACGAGTGTTCCGAGCAGAGCGCCGAGCAAACCCAGGTGCAAGAGCAGGGTGGCAAATCATCCGCTGAGCAGGCTTATGATACTGTCAAGGAAGAGGCGCCTATCGCGAGCGAGAGCGCTGAAAAAGAGACTTTAGTTGCTGAGACTCCTGAGCTCAAGGAGATTGCCGGAAATGCCAGGGGGGAAAAGCAAGATGAGGAGGTTAAGGCGACTCCCGAGACTACGGCTGCTGGCGCCGCCGCCACTACCAACTAGATTGGACGTGAACATGACTACTCATCCTTCTTCACGGAGAAGAACAAACTCCAACGAATTCACAGATGACACGAAAGTGGAAGGAAAAGTGGAGCGGAATGCGGTATAGCCCAGCCTTCAGTCATCTGCAGTGTCTTCTGCTCGATTGTTTCTTCATTTTCTTTTCCCTCTCCCTGCTTTTGATTCATTGATATCTCATGTTCTCTCACCATATCATTCGCCATATCCCTGCCCCGTGCCTTTCTCTCCCGCGCATGTTCTCTCTCCCATCACGGCCCTTTTCCTTATGTCTCAATGCTCGATTTGCTGCGCTTTGACTTTGACTTCGAACTTGGTCAATCTCTCGGGTACCCTTCATCCTCTTACCTGGAAACCACCTTTCAATACTTTCACTCTTGTCACGGTCAATGACGCCTTGCTATCATCGGTTCGACAGATTTGGCATGGGTCAGATGTGGTTATGACCTTGATCTAGCTCACGCCATAACGGATTCAACAGGTCCGGACCGCAGCGAGGAGGTGATTGAGCGTGATAATGATACCCTTGATACCCCGAGACTTTCATATCGATACGGATACCCTTTTCTCCATCTGCTTGACTGAGATGTTTTTTGTTTTCTTGTTTTTACTCCTACTTACAGGGTTTTTGCCCATGTCCTTCTCCCTTCTTCCCTCTTGCAGTTCTACCTCCATTCTTCCATTACTCCTTTTCCTCTCTACTAATTGCGATCAGCTATCCCTTTCCTACCTTTGATTGAAGGAAGTGACGTCATTTCTGCCCGTTGTTCCTTCCCCTTTTCCTTGTTGTTACAGTTTTGTTTCTCCCTTTTCTACCTGTTCTAATTTGTCTATCAGTTTTACTGTTGACCCTCAATAATCGCTTCCATCTTTTCTGTCGAAAGAATTGGTGGGGAAGTCATAATAATACTACAACACGTCCATGTTTGCTCTGCAGTAATCAGAAATATTTGAGGTCCTAATTTTACCCTTTAATGCATGATTGTTTCCAAGTCGCCCTTCTCTGTTCTAAATTCTTTAAGCGCGCCCAAAGAAATCTACTGTCTTTTGCGTAGCCAATGATCTCCCCACAGTCTTTTGTGAACCCCGCCTATGAAATGGCAGGTGAGCACAGAGGTAGGTGATCAATGCATTTGTACTTTTGAGCTGAACTTTACCATTGCATGGAATCCATCCACTAGTTCGTGGCCGTGCCTATGAAAGCTATGGCTCATTAATCCATGATTCGATCACATTTCTTGTCGATCTGTCGTCAGCATTTCGGGAGCCGGTCGTATGTAGAGTGGCCTGAGGCCACATAACGAGTGTAATTCAATCATGGTCTTGTGGTCTAGTGGTATGATTCTCGCTTAGGGTTCACCCTGAGTAATTGCTTGATTTGCGAGAGGCCCCGCGTTCGAGTCGCGGCAAGACCCTGGAATTGGTTGTTCCTTTTTTGTTTTTATCCTCCTTCCGCACTTTCATGACGGTTTGAAGAGTTTGTTGTCATGCTGGCCTATCCAGTTCAAGTACCTACCCCCATTACTTTAGTAAATTGATGAACATACCCGTGGGGCACAAATGATGGACTGGCTTTCGGGTTTCATTGACCATGCTGAGTAGTGATGGGATGATGAAGGAAGAAAAGAAAATCAGTCTAGATCATTATTATTCATTCATTTCAATCAAATTGGTATCAAAGAGCTGCAGCTTGCTGACAAGTGGAATTGCAATAAGCTATGCTGCGTTCTCGGATTGCAGAGTTTGCTAAAAGAGAGAATTAAGACATCGTTAGTGAATACTTGTTGACTACAATAGACAAGAGACCAGACGTGAAGCTGGTCTAGCACTTACCACAAGCCAATCCATTCCCTCATTTATCCCCTTGCCGTCGATGGCTGAGCAGGCTACAATACTCCAATTCCTATCCCTAAGTTCGCCCAACCTTAGAGCCTCCGAAATCTCTCCTGCATTTTTGGCGCCCGGTTGATCTTGCTTATTCGCAAATACCAAAAGACTTGCGTCCCGCAATTCTTCTTCGTTCAGCATTGCTGCTAGCTCGTCGGCGGCAGTCCCTAATCTTTCAATGTCTGTGGCATCAACAACGAATATGACGGCGGCCGTGTTTGCGTAGTAGCATCGCCAGAATGGCCTAATGGATGTCTGACCTCCGAGATCCTGGAAAAAGGAGAACGACATGAGTCACCCGCCATGTGCTATCATATGTTGATTGCAGAATTAACGAACATACCCAAACAGTAAAATTGAGGTTCTGATATTGAACAGATTCGACATTGAATCCAATCGTGGGTATTGTTGTTACGACTTCGCCAATCTGTCGACGATTGCGGTCAGTCAGATAGCCCTTCCACTGGATTGGGACATGAGGAAGAAAAAATAATCAGTGGCGGACCTTCAATCTATAAAGTAATGTCGTTTTGCCAGCATTATCCTAGATATATCATTGAACCAGACGTTAGGTACGACCAGTAATGAGCATATTAGTTGCCGGGAGAAGGGTTCCCCTCAAAGGGGGAGCGAAAAGGCTATCCTTGTACCAGTCCTAGTATCAAAACACGAAGCTCTTTCTTTGCGCCAAAGAGACCGGATAGCAATTTTGATATCGATCCTCCCATGATGGTTAATGTCTTGAGTTCCGTGAACGTGTGATTGACGACCACCGCAAAAGTGTCCTGTAGTATTCGCAATGACAGCTTTTTTCGAACGAATGAAACGCTGGCTCTATGCGCGAATACACAAATAAACAAGCGATGAGATATGTATTTGCACAACGAAGCAGGCGATTACTCAGGCTTGTCTTGTCGACGTAGCTGTTACGTTCCTGTCGTTCGTCAAGTATTGGGTTCTGGATACTCTGAGGGTGAAGAAGGTTAACGAGCTTGGACTACCGCCCCAAGGACAACGATGAGGCCGTCGAAATAGATATCGAAAGCTGTAGGATTGCGCCCTTGGTGCCGTCAGTACAGTTTCACGGTAACGGACTTTCAATAGAGCAAGAGAAACATGAGGGCCTAGTTAGCATTACAGACCGGGCAGGGCAGGGCAGGGCAGGGCTTCGCTGGGCTTGGTTGATGTGGAAGACCTTCGGTATTCTGTACCGGCGGTTCAGGTTGGCAGAATGTCTGGTTAGACTGCTGCTGGCGATGAAAAGCGAACAAACCACGGCCTGTCGTCTGGGATGGAGGAGAGTTCATTCACATCTGTAGACATGGATTCATTCGTGCTCATGCGCCGACATCACTGTTCCACCTCCATCTCACAGCGTAACGTCGCGAGAGGTACAGAGCTTCCTGGTGCGGTTAGGTATTTGACGCGAATCAGCTAGGAACTATTCATATCACGTCGATACGCTTGATATCGTCCGATCAGCTTATCAAAAGCCTCGGAGCTTGTCTCAGCTTTGCGCATCAATTCGATGAAAAAATTACCTTCTGCTACTCTGGGTAGATACTTCATACGGCAGTCGCAATGGTTGGAAAGAAGTCCGGCAAGGCCCTCTTAAAAGAGGAAGGTAGGTCGATATAACATCATACTTCATCAGCTGGTGGTGACGCTGATTTGTCTATCGCAACAGGCCTGGAGCGGACGGACAACAATATGGAGCTATCGAGTTGGCCCCAAGTGGCTGCAATCAATCAGAAAAACTACTACACGTATGTGCGCATATCGAAGCTGCCAAAATCTGAAATCCGAGCATATAACTGAGAAGTTCTCCTTTTCCCAGGGACTACCTTAAGCGTGACGATCAGATTCTAGCTTATCGTTTGCAAAATGAAGAGGCTCGCGCGCAAATGATTAGGAAAGCAAGGGAGCGTGAGCGAGCTCTGGCAACGAAGAATGAAGTTCCGCTACCCGAACCGACTCCTGACGCAGATGGCGATACAATCATGCAGGAATCTGATGAAACAGAACCTGAGGCCAAAGGCGCAAGGACAGTGATTATGCATCTTGGGAGCCAGAACCTGCGCATTGGATTTGCCAGTGATGCTTTACCCAAAACAATGCCTATGGTTATTGCTCACAGGGCGCCCAAGAATGAGGCGGAAGAGCAAGGGGGCGAACCGAAGCCCAAGCGCCTCAAGCTGAGTGAAGACCAGTCCATCCAGCCTGAAGATATCTTCGGCGAAGAGGTGAGTTTAAAGAGCCTCACGTCATCGTCGCGCTTCACGCTAACACCGTCCAGTTCGCGAAGGAGTACGCGGGTCTGCAGGCTCTGTTGAAGGCACAGATGCGGCAGAATAAACGAAGAACGCTGCCTAATTCTAAAGAGATGGTCGTAAATTTCAATAGACGGACATCTCCCGAGACAGTATCAGAGCATAATGATCCTATTAGAATCGAGTATACAGATGTTGCAATGCGCGATGCGCCGGAGCACATAATCGGTGAAGATGCCCTACGGATTCCCGACTACTCAACGCCCAGATACAAGCTGTTTTGGCCCATTCGCCATGGGTGGCCGAACGAGAAGGATTATTCCTCCAAAACTATGCTGTTTCAGGACATTGGCCTTATTATCGAACATGCGCTGAAGACACAACTCGGGTTTACGCGCAAGAAAGATCGGGGTCTATACTCGTGCATCTTCGTCATACCGGATCTGTACGAGAAGGCATTTGCAACGGAAATGCTCGATATGCTCATTCGAGAGTTCAACTTTGCACGCGTATGTTTCGTTCAAGAAGGTTTGGCAGGATCATTCGGCGCGGGTTTCACCACCGCCTGTGTGGTAGATATTGGGGCCCAGAAGACTTCAATATGTTGTGTGGACGAAGGCATGTGCGTCGAGAACTCGAGAGTCAATATCAAGATGGGTGGATCAGATGTCACAGAGCTCTTCATTAAGATGATGCTCTTTGATCATTTCCCCTATGCAGACATCAATCTGAATCGCCGCTACGACTGGCTATTGGCAGAAGACTTGAAGAAGCGGCATTGCACGTTTAACGAAGCCAATGTGTCGGTGCAGTTGTCTGAATTCCATCTGAGAGCTTCTGGACAGGACACCCGAAAATACAGCTTCAAAGCATACGATGAAGTATTTCTCGCTCCATATTGTTTGTTCCAACCTCAGACCTTTGACAATGGAGATAAGCTAGAGGGTAGGAGACGGCTTATTCCACGTTCTGTCGATATCTACGAAGGTCTGCCAAATGATCCTTTATCTGCTGCACAAACAGAGATTCTCTGCGCTGTGGCACCAGCACTCGCCGCAGAGGAGAACAGGGATCTTGGCGATGCCGGTGCACAGCGCACACCAATCAAGGGTCAGCCAACTCTTCAAATACTGAATCGTCGTCACGACCTCGATACAACCCCAAGATCGTCAGTAGCAGGCTCACCTGCACCTGATGGTTCAATTGGGTCACCACAACCTAACAGGATAGGCACGCCCTCGCTTGATAATACAACTTCGGCTCCAAACCTCTCGTCGTTGTTCCAGAAAGGAAGTATCCTTCGCTCAAGAATAAACGAAAGAGATGACATCCTGCCGATCTGCGCCTTGGACACGGCAATCTTCACATCAATCTTCAACGCTGCGAAGCCTGAGGAACGAAAATTAACCGATTTCCTTGGTGGCATCCTAGTCCTAGGGGGAGGAAGCCTTGTATCAAACCTGCATTCATATCTTGAGGACCGCTTACAGACTACAAAACCCCAGTACGCAAACTCCATCATGGTCGGCACGCCGCCACGCGAGCTTGATCCCCAAGTGGTGGTCTGGAAGGGAGCCAGCGTCTTCGGTAAACTGGAAGCTGCGAACGACAGCTGGATATCACGCTTGGAATACGATCGCCTTGGAAGTCGTATTCTGGTGTATAAATGCATGTGGGCATGGTAGACAAATTCACTAATGATCTAAAACAATCACATAGGCATTCGATCCCGAATGTCATCTTTGGACTTAACTGAAGCTGCGGTCCTAAAGGTCCTTGATGGCAGATTTGCACACCAGCTGTCAGTTCAGACGGATCCTGCCAGCGTTGTTTGTAAGATATAGGGCTTTCTGTACGTTATGTACTCCTTCCAACATCAAGAGATGTACTTACTTTGAGCTAAGCATCTGAGCTGCGTAACGGATTTCATAATATGCAGCTTTCGTTGGGATTTTGGGGGCGCATTTCATACATGGGCCCACCCTGTTAAATGTAGCATTTTATATTGTAACAGTTATTTGGCTTATGTCCACAAGAATTTAAAGTCCAACGCATGACGTTTTGCACAGACAGACTCAGATACAGCAGCCATATTCCACCCTCTAACATCTCATGTTCAATGATAACATCTCCAGGCTCATAGTTGGTAACAAACGAGTCTGTCGATTATTATGATATTGAGGTGAGTTATTATACCTATGTCCGCCGTGGCGTCTGCCTCTGATAATGGTATAGCTTAGTCCGACGACATCACTGTG